CCCTAAGGTAATATATAAATTTGATGTATTTCCAACTAAAAATCCCAAAATTTTCATAGAACAAGCTAATCCTATAGTTCATCTAGAAAATAGAGTGCTGGGGGCCGGCCCCGTGGCTTAGCGGTTAAGTGCGTGCTCTCCGCTGCCGGCGGCCCGGGTTCGGATCCTGGGTGCGCACCGAGGCACCACTCCTCCAGCCATGCTGAGGCCGCATCCCACATACAGCAACTAGAAGGATGTGCAGCTATGACAGACAACTATGTACTGGGGCTTTGGGGGAAAAATAAATAAATAAAATCTTTAAAAAAAAAAAAAAGAAAAGAAAATAGAGTGCTGAATATCTGCCAAGAAAATTTTGAAAAAGAAGAGTGAAAGAGGCCTGCACTATCAACCCTCAAAATATTTCATACAGCTGTAGTAATTAAAGCAGTGTCATATGGACCAGAATAGAAAATACAGAAACAAATCTAAATATGTGATTGGGAACTTGGTTTATATTAAAAATGACAGTTGAAATCAGTAGGGAAAAGATGGGCCATTTATGGTGTAAGGACAGTTAGCTAACTGTTAGGAAAAAATTAGATCTTTACTTCCCATCATTTACAAAAATAAGTGGATGTAAGGGTAATACATTTTTAAAAACTATAGGAGTAATAGAAGGAAATATTGGGGAATATATTTATAATTGGGTGTTAGAATAGCTCTTTTTAAAACAAAATGCAAAACACAAAGGTTTTAACAGCAAAAAAACTAACAAATGTAACCACAAAATATAAAAGTTCATAAGATAAAAGATAAAATTAAAATATACAATAGACTGGGAGAAAACCTTTGCAACATATAATATATAATGACTTAATATAGGGGTGATGAAAATAATACCTACAAATTGAAAGAAAAAAGAAAAAGAAAATGGAAAAATGGACAAAGGATATGAACAGACAATTCAGAGAAAAGAAATATAAATGACTAGTAAACATTTGAATCAACACAAGTTGAAATGAAACACCCATTTTTTTGCCTGTCAAAGTGACCAAAATGTAAAAGACTGATAACACCAATTATTGATGAGGGTGAGGAAGACAGGTACTTTCATGCATAATCATCAGGAATGTATATTGGTCCGTCTTTTCGAGCAGGCAATTTGGTGGTGCTATAAAATATAAAATGCACGTAGTTCTCGATTCCATTTCCCACCCTCTGGGCCCTTCTGTAGGCAGTCAAGACCTGGCCTCTTTTTTTTTTTTTTTTTTTTAGGTCCTCAACAATACATATTTTATTCCTTGATATTTTATTTATTTTTTAAATTATTTTATTCAGGTTATATTGGCTTATAACATTGTGTAAATTTCAGGTGTACATCATTATATATCAATTTCTGTATAGACTACATGTGTTCACTACCAATAGTCTAGTTTTAATCCATCACCATACATATGTGCCCCTTCACCCCTTTCATCCTCCCCCAACCCCCTTCCCCTTGGTAACCACTAATCTGTTCTTCTTATCTATGTGTGTGTGTTTATCTTCCACGTAAGAGTAAAATCATATGGTATTTGTCTTTCTCTGTCTGACTTATTTCGCTTAGCATAATGCCCTCAAGCCCCAGCCTCCTTACAGCATGGCACCAGGCTTCCAAGGAAGAACACACAGAAGCTGCTAGGCCTCTGAAGGGCCAGGCCCAGGCCTGCAGAGCAGTCCTTCCACCACGTTCTAACAGCCCAAACAAGTCACAGGCTGCCTAGATTCATGGGGGGTGGGGACGTATCTAGCTCCTGATAGAAGAATGGCTTGCCGGGACAGGAATGGGTGGCATTATTGGCAGCTATATTTTTTGACAAACTACCACATAGGTAGTTAGAGTGAAACATATTCCTCCATGTAGCGTTTTAGCAGCATCTCTTAAGTGTTTACATGTTTATGTAAATTTCAAAATATTCTGTTGTTTTGTTCCGTATTTTCTCCCTGACCTAAACCATGTGACTAGGCGCCTATTCTGGTTTTTAGTTTTTTCTTGGGATCTGTGGATAAGTTTTGTAAACAAACAAAAACACACAGTAAAACTCGACCACAGTAAATGCTGTCCAAAAATTCTATTTTGTAAACCCTCATGTGGTGTTATTGTGAAGTTAATTAAAAACAGTGTTTTATCAGTAGGTGGTATTAGCATAAAATTAAACATTGTGAAACTTCCACTGTGCACAGTTGACCCTACACTGAACTGAGAAAATCCCAAGTGGTCCTGAGCCGGTCTCTTATTCACACGCACGAGCGCACACGCACACGCACGCGCACACACGCACACCTTGAGAATTTTATCCCAGCTCAGTCTGAAAAGGTCCTTGGTAGCCTGGAAAGAGGACACCAGCCCAACACCAATCATACTACAGCCGAATTCACATTATTATGGTGGGTATGATTTTTTAAGTATATCTTTGTCTTTTCAGATTTACTAAGTGGGTCTGTACTCTGTTCATCAGCGAGTCCTCCCTACATGCTTATTGTGTGTTAATCCCTGGGGATCGACACGAGGGAGAAAGAGCCTGTCTCCTGCAGATGGCAGGGAGGAGTGTGCTTGAAAAGAGTACACAAATTAATCAAGCCTCGGGGGTGCTAGGACAGAGCTATGTCCAGGGTGCTTTGCCAGGGGGCACAGAGAAGGGACAGCTCCCCCAGCAACCTGATTGGAAGTGAGTCTTGAAAGACGAGTAATAGCTGGAGAAAAACTGGGTGTGAAAGGAGAGAAGGAAAGCATTCCAGGCAGAAGAAACAGCTTGAGATAAAAATAGCTCAGCACAAGGTGTGCCTGTTTGGGGTGGAGCCAGCCTGGTGGTTCAGGTTTTTTGGAGCTTAGGCAGAAAGAGGGGAGCAGGCACAGGGCGAGGCGGGCCTCCTAGGCCAACCTAGGGCCCATGCCATGGAGGGCCGTGGCCAGCTTTGTGTGTTTACAGTCATGCACCTCATAAGGATGTTTGGGTCAAGGATGGACCGGGTATACGACAGTGGTCCCATAAGATTAGTACCATAGAGCCTAGGTGTGTAGTAGGCTATACCACCTAGGTTTGTGTAAGTACGTTCTTTGATGTTTGCACAATGATGAAATTGCCTAATGACGCATTTCTCAGAACGTATCCCCGTCATCAAGTGACACATGACTGTAGTTATCCCTCCATTGGCAGGGGGGACGCTGGGGTGGGTGGGAACAAGACTAGAGGCTGGGAGACCACTTGGGGGGCTATTGGCAAGCTTCAGAGGAAATGACATGACCTTGAATCAGGAGCATAGCTTCAGGACGATCACATGTATCATGATTATATGGGAAATCTGTGAATAGCCAGAAGGAAATTTTATTTCATTTGTTATATTTTCTAAGATTATATTGTATTCTAAACAAGATCAGAAGACAGGTATATGAAATTTAACCCATTCTTCTGTCATTTTTATTATTAAAAATAATAAAATATAATAGCACATTTCTATTTTTAATTTATACTGTGAACAAAATTTTCTTCGAACTTTCTTTCCTCCAGGAATGATGAGGAGTTTGGTTTTTTGGATCACACCCCTCCCCCTGTGCACAATTTATTATCCAATTTGGTAGTCTAAAAGCCTTTATAAATTCTATATCTAAATCTTGTATAGTATTCAGATGTCCAGTTGACATTATTTTTATAAGCTTGCTTTTTGTTACTGTCATAATCTACTCATCTCTTATAAATGCCTTAGACTGCCTCCCAAAGGCCCGGACCTCTGCACTGACCTTTGCACCTGAGTAGCTTCATGTCCTCAGGTCTTAGAATACTCTTCCCTCTCCTCCCCGCCCCTAGAGAGGAGGCTTGTTGCGGGAACCGGCTTGCTGAAGGTGATAGATTCGCTTCTCTTAAATTTGTGTAGATTTAATGTATTATATATAAAAAAAAGTAAATCTGGTTTAATTTAAGAAGAGCTTCTAGGATCATGTGGTTTGATAGAAATGATAGGCATGAATCAGCAAATAGGTTAAGGGAAACTCTTAATAAAATGCTCACCAGTGTGATATAATACAGAGATGAAGGATTGATGTCGTGACCATTTTATATTATATGACTCTAGTTTACATTGCGTACAAATCCTGGCCAGCCGTCCAGCTTGGGCTCAAAGCCTCGGAAGAGAAACCAATAGCAGTTTCAGTCAATGAGCTCATCTTGCACTGTGGTTGTGAACTGTAATCATTTCTTAATTGTAACTTGGAGCACCTCGTTTTCCCAGTAATTAACTAGTTTGTGATTTTTGAACTTCCTACCAAGGACCAGAGTCACTCCGTGTTTTCACAAAGGACAATTGTTAGGGCGGCATTGTGCCCTGCTTAAGCTAACAAGCCTTTATCTTTCATTAATCCAACAAATATTTACATTGTTCTGCCCTTCCAGCACTTTCTCTGGGGCATAGAGTGCTCCCCCACATACACACACACACACAAGGCACTTACAGGCTCTTAGAAGAGTTTGCAGCCCTTCCCAGTGAAGGAGAGCAGCAGGTTTGCTACTGGAGTAACCACTGCAGCTGTGGCCTGCCTTGGTGTAGGGGAAGGCGAGGAAGGGAGCGTTTAGCGAGCGCGGGCGCTTGTGCTGGCTATTGCGTATACATTAGCTCCTTTGATGACGAGGCTAACCCTGTCAAGTAGCATGTGTTCAAGATGTATTACTTGCTTGCTTTTTATTCTGCATTATGGAAATAACCCATGTTGAATTACTTAACACCCTAAATTTGAAGTCCTGTCTTTACGAGCATGCCCTGATTGATTGCTAAAGCTAATCTGATGCAGGATGTACTAATAAGTGGGGAAAGGGGATAAATCATGGCGTGGATAGAAGGTTAAGAAAAAATCTCATATTTATGCTTAGTGAACAGAATTTATCAGGAAAAAACTTAAATAGGTTGAAAGACTTTTGCTCAAAGGTTTTTCAGAGCATTAGTCAAGGAACGTGGAGAAAATTGACCTCTCCTCTCCTCTTTCTTAGATACATTCCACCGTTGATCTGGGGGAAGAGTGGACACATCCAAACAGCTTTGTATGGGAAGATGGGAAGGGTAAGGTCACCACACCCCTACGGGCACCGGAAGTTCATCACCATGTCTGACGGAGCCACTTCGACCTTCGACCTCTTCGAGCCCTTGGCTGAGCATTGTGTTGGAGGTGAGCTAGTTTAGGTCCTCTGATTGGGCCCTCACTCGAATGAGGAGCACCAGTCAGTGAGGGAGCATGGCTCCTGCCGGTGACTCTCGCAGTCGCATCCAGGGGCTGGCAGGAAGTCTGCTGAGATATGTCGCTTAGGAGCAGCCAGCAGGGATTAGCTTCAGGGTCTGCTTGCCAGTCACCTTGTAGAGCTCCTCAGAAAGCAGTGTTGAGTACAGACTTTTAATCCTCTTGTGAAAGACAGAAGCTTGGTGTAAGAGACTGAGGGAGAACCTGGAGCCCAGGCCCCCCAGGACCAGGCCTCTGGTTTGATGACAGCAACAGAAGCCAGACTGTTCTAAGTGCTTTATATGTACTATTATCCCATTTAATCCTCACAACAACCCTGAGAGGTCTGTGCCCTATTATCCCTACTTTACTGGTGAAGAAACTGAAGCTTAGACATGCAGTGCAGGCTGGTTTTATTTGTAGGATACAGCAGATAACAAAGGCTCTCAGGTACCTCTGCTTAGTTTTCCATGAACAAAAAGACACCTTAAGGTCATATTTAGCATGCAGGGGTCTGGGACACCTATTTCTCAGAAACAACTCCAATTTCCATTGCTGCTGGAACTCGGCATTACTCTGTTCAGCCTGCACAGTAAACACTCGTTATAAAAGGCTTCATAATGGGGACTTTGAGGAAGTGGAGTTAGATGGCAGCATCCTTTTAAATGATGTTCCTACTGGAAGAGAACCTGTCTTTTGAGTTCTGTAGGAGGCAACAGAACTAGTTTTTTGTAGGAGCTCAGTAAATATTTGTGGGTAAATTCCAATAAATATGTTATAACTCTCGGTTATTTAAAGTAACTAGATCTGCTGAGAAGCTAGTGACAAAGGTTTAATTTATGTTCCCTCTGTCTAGAATGCTTGTCCTCAGCCCTTCACATGGCTACCTCCTTCTTGTCATTCAGGCCTCAGCTCAGATGTCGCCTCTTCAGGGAGATGGTCCCTCCTCCCATTTTACTGTTTCCTTCCCAGTAAATCCATCAAGCCCTCTTGCCTTAGTGCTTCCTGGTACCTGCCACTCTCTAAACTTATTTGAGTGGTTGTTTTTTATCTGTCCGCGAGGATGTAAGAATCCCCTGAGTCCAGAACAGTAGGCTCCCAATAAACAGTCCCAGAAGGAATGAATAAGTGCCTAGGTTAGGAGTTCACATTGTGTTTATAAGTCTTGTAGCTGATCTTTCAAATATTTATTTCTCTACCATACTCAGTTAAATATTTTTCTCTTGTTTGTAATGCTCCTCCTTCTTCTACCATTAAAGCACAAAATTCAATTTAATCAATCTGCTCTCTCTACCAAGACTGAGGTGGAAAGTTGAAAAGGGCAAAACTTTGATTCTTTGTTGTACTCATTCATGTCTTTCTATCATCCCTGTCCCCCGACAGGATTGATGAAGGTGGTTCTGGGGAAGGTAGTGTTTGCATCCAAGAAATGCTTTAAGAAATGCAGCCCTTTTTTCCTTTTTATGATTTTTTTCTGACTACAAAAGAAATACATATGCATTTTAGAAAGTTTAAATTATACAGAAACATTTTAAAAAGAAAATAAAAATCACCTATAATCCCACCACCCAGCATACAATTGTTAACATTTTGTTCCATTTACTTCCAGTTCTATGCATAGTTTTTCCAAAATTTGAATTATTAGACGTTATATTATAAATATTTTTGCATTTCATTAAAAGTCTAAAAGTCTTCAAAAACATAATTTTAATAATTGCTTAATATTCTACAACATGGCCTTACCATAATTTAATTATTCTTCTCTTCTTGGGCATTTAGCTTGTTTATAATTTTGTTACTATAAATAATTCTCTAATAAGCATCCTCAATCATAAAACCTGAGTCAAGATTCTAAGAATTAGAGTTACTAGGTCAATGTTAATAAACTGTTTAAGGTTTTTTATGCATCTTGTATAAGAATTTTTAAATTGCTTTATCTTAACTTTTGGAGGGAAAATTTGTAAGATTTAATAACCTAAACACCACTTTTCTCTTAAAGAAAAATATGTATTCATATTTTCAAGTAGGTCATTCATGCTCATGATAGAAAATTCAAAAGGTGCTAAAGGATATATAGTGCAAATAAGTCTCTCTCCCACTGCTACTCCCCTGTGGCACCCACTGTTAGGTTCTTGTATATGATTTCAGAGATTGTGGATGCATTTATAAACACGGATGTCTTTTAAATGGAGACAGATTGGAGAGCCTGCCATTGCAGTGTATATAAAGATGTCTCTTTTTTTTTAAGGGCTACCTAACATTTCATCACTTGGATGTACAATAATTTATTTAACCAGATCCCTATTTCTGGACACTTAGGTTATGTTCACTCTTTTGCCATGACAGTTTATACTGCACATATATTGTTTCATAAATGAACAAGTATATTTGTAGGATAAATACCTGAAAGTAAAATTGCTGGATCAAAGAAGTCTATGCAAACACTACTTTTTATTTTTCCATTCATTCATTCATACGGAATTTTGTATAGACGTTAAGAGTAAGGTTCAGAAACTTGTATAGCAATTCCACAGAGTAATTTTATATGTTGAATCTAAATAAAAAATTGAGATTTCTATTTTTTGTTTCATTTTTCTAGTAATTTTTATTGTATTTTTCAAAAGTGTCTGTTCGTGATAGATTGAAAATTTTAAAAACTGACTCTTCACGATAAATGGTTGGAGAAGCACTGATATAGACAGCTCCAGCTAGAAGAGAAAGATATTTTTCCAAAAAAAATTGAGCAAAAAGATGTATGTTAAATTCCCTTCTACCATTTTCTAAGCCAGTGAAGTATAATGTGTCCATTTACATGTCACTATTTATTGGCTATGTTGGGATCTCTTTCTCCACCCTGTAGATGACATTACCATGGTCATCTGCCCTGGAATTGCCAATCACAGCGAGAAGCAGTACATCCGAACATTTGTCGACTACGCCCAGAAAAATGGCTATCGGTGCGCCGTGCTGAACCACCTGGGTGCCCTACCCAACATTGAATTGACCTCGCCACGCATGTTCACCTACGGTAAGCAGAGGGCATGGCCAAGTGGAATCCCACCTTTTTCTGTTCTCACTACAAGTGCACTGCCACTTCTGCTTCTGCCTTAGTCTTCTAAATTTAGAATTTAGCCTATCTGCAGGAGACAGTGGGGCACACAGTTATAACAGCAGCCAACTTGTACTGGGCACTTATGATGCCATGCCTCACATCAGTCTTTCAGATGGGCACTGTAACCACCCCCATCTCGTTCCATCTCATAGAGACAGAGACTGCAGCTCACAGTGGAAGGTCTTACACATGGTCACTTGGCTGGTAAGTGTCAGAGCAGGGCTGGGAGCCAGGTAGATTGGGTAGCTAATGCCCTTCATCACCATGCCGCATTCTTTAGGACTCTTGTGACCGGCAGGCAAGCGTTGTGATGAGGCACAGGAATGTCTATGGGAAGGGAATCGCACATTAGCAACTCATTGGATTTCAAGTTCCTTGAGGACAGGAACTGGATCTCACACAAATGCTTCTTGCCTTTCATTGAAGTCCTGTGTTAGCTAAGGCTCTGTCTTCTGGACTGCTCATTCTTGGCTCTTATTTAACTCTCTTTTCAAATAATTCATGCACACATAAATAATAAACACATAAAATATGTGTCTGTATACGTACAAACATTTGGGATGTTTATAACCAAATAAATTATAATGTGTTTTCATGGGAAACAACTGAAAATTAGATCTATAATCTCACCATAACTGTAATTTATTTCTATTTGTTCATCCTCCCGTTCTGTCTTTATCTGTGCATACATAGTTTTTATTTAGGTGCAGTCATAGTGTATATATCTATGGTGACTTATTCACTAACATAAAGATGCATAAACATTATGTTTAATCTTTCTTAAGAGCCACATTGCTATTATTATTCTGTTATAGTTTATTTAACCATTCCTCTTTGTAGGCCATTTAGGTTATTTAAAGTTTTTCAGCATTTTAAATAGCAATGCTGTAAATATCTTTACATAGAATTCTTTCCTCTCTTTAATGACTTCTTTGGAGTAAATTTCCAGGAGCAGAATTTCGGAGCTGACATTTTTAATGCATATTTGTACATAGTGTCAGATTGTCCTCCAGCAAGTTTGTTCTAGTTTACACTGCCATTGGCAATGGACGTGTAAGGGTGGGGAGGGAAGGCCATGGTGGGGAAGCATGAGCAGGTGTGCCTTCTCTGTGCCAGACTGGGTCCTCTGCATCGCGCTTTTCTGGGTTCTCTACACTCACTCCCACACGTAAAGACACCCATTTTACGGACTATTCTGTTCAAGAGTGTGGTCAGTGGCTTGAAGATACAGGTGAAGATCCAGATTTACAGATAACATAGGCACGTGGAGAATAGTGAGTATGTGGGAGATAGGATTGGGTCCAAAAGGCAGAAACAGGCAGAATCTAACAAAAATGAAAACAATGCAAAATGATTATAAGGTCTTATCCTTGGATAAAAAAATCTGTCTGTACAAGAAGAGAACGAGGAGGCATGGCTTGGCCGCAGGGCCCGGGATGGAGACTTGGAAGTGTTGTCTAACAGCATGGTGTGCCAACAATGAGTCGAAAGATGCCAGTGAGGGCACTTAACGTGTGCCCGACAGTGCTAGTGTCTCACACAGACATAATCTCTTTAAGCTCCACAGCAACCCGCGAGACAGCTAGTAAAATTCTGGTGCAGAAAACGGAGGCACAGAGAGGTTTAGTGATTCGGGCAAGGCATGGAGCAGAAGAAGTGGGTAGACGTGGAAGAGCCAAGTGAGGAGAACAGCTAAAGCAAGAGCCTGGCCCTGGCCTCCAGAGCCACAGCAGAAGAGCTAGGTCTGTGTGGCCCCGCCCCCACCCCAGTGCTGTGCTAGGGCTGTCGGGAAAGGAGACGAGAGCGGGAGGCATTTACACACAGTCGTGGAGTCTAGCGGCTGAAGGAGCAGAGCAGAGAAGGCTTAATGTGGGACCTGGTCACAGAGAGGATACCCTGGCCCTGCTGCTGACCAGCTGTGTGGCCTTGAGCAGTTTGCTTAATCTCGGTTCCAGATTCTTCAACTGCAAACTTGGGGTTATAATTTTATAACTAAACATGGGTTACTAAGAATTTAGCAGGCAGTTGAGTGCCTAACGTATAGTAACCATTTATTAAATGTTCGGTTTAGGGGCTGGCCTGGTGGCGTAGTGGTTAAGTTCGCGTGCTCCGCTTCAGTGGCCCGGGGTTCATGGGTTTGGATCCCAGGCACGGACCTACACACCTTCTCATCAAGCCATGCTGTGGCGGCATCCCACATACAAAATAGAGGAAGATTGGCACAGATGTTAGCTCAGCGACAGTCTTCCTCAAGCAAAAAGGGGAAGGTTGGTAACAGATGTTAGCTCAGGGCCAATCTTCCTCACCAAAAAAAAAAAAAATTTCAGTTTATTCTTATTCAAATAGGTGAAGATCTGTTAATGGTAGCAAGGGATTAGCCCTGCTTTGTGTGACCCAGATAAATAAGACATTCTTCAGGGGGAGATGGGAATATCAATAAATAATTACAATACAGTGTGATGAATGGGAGTCTGGTGAGCATGTGCAGCAGCGTGGAGAAACCAGCCTGTCTCCCTAGGCAAGGAGCTGTGTTATGGAAAGAAAGACTCTTCCAGGAAGAGCATTTGAAGTGGGTCCACAAGGTGAGGATGGATTGGAGCTCATAAATAGAGGGGAGTGGGCTATGGGGAGAAGCACCATGCACAGCTGCCTTTTAAGAGTGTGGTGTGTCTGGGCTGGCGAGCTGAATCTGAGCGAGGAAAATCCATGGGGCGAGGCAAGTCCATCTGGGGAGAGTCCAGCTCCCACATTTCTCAAAGTAATTCAACTGTTTCCTTTTATTTGTGGTTGTTACAGTTTGTTTCATCAGAATTTTAGGAGTAAATTCCTATAGTTGTTATACTTTAGTAGTTCTCTAGAAAGACAGGTCACCTAGAAGAAATGGGTGATCTTTTGAGCTGTGCTATTTAGTCTTTTTGTTTATCGGTACATCTTTTAACTGTTGAGATGCATTTTTTAACCATTGGGTGATAAGGTCAAACAAATGTGGCCTTAAAAAGGTCAAAAATCCGGAATTCAGACACTTTGTTGAAATCTGAACATGAAACGTCTTTGGTACCTTCGAAATAGCTAGACACAGATTAGTGTTTCTTAGGTGCTACTGATGTGACTTTAGTTTAAAAAAATGTGTTTTTAGTAAATGTTTCCCTGGACTGGTAAATAAGGAGCAATCCTTCAACAAAGATGGCCTAGTACCTTAAAGCACAGCCCATGTTTGTTACTCTTGACTGATAAACTGAGGTAGTTCAACAATGTGCTAGAACTGAAAAACCTTCAGCACAGTTCATCATGTATGGGATTCTTAAGTGTGTAGCTGTCTATTTATGGGCTTTCTATACTTCAGTACAAATATATTTGTCGACTTTTGTTTCTACATCTCATATCATTATTAATGTTTAATTATTGTTGCTTTGTGATATGGCATAGTATCTGATAGAATTAACCCTGACTCATTGCTTCTTCAGAGTATGCTTTTGTCTCCTTGCCTATTTATTTTTTTCAGTTGAATTTTAGAGTTATTTTGTCAAGTTCTGTGTTGAATTTCTGTATTGGTCAAGATGGACTAGATTATGCTATGGAAACAAGCAACCCCAAATCTCAGTGGTTTACAAAGAAAGATGTATTTCTTCCTCACACTACACATCCATCATGGGTTGGCAGGGGGGTTCTTTGTCCCTGCCATCACCGTCCTTACTTAAGGACGCAGGCTAATGGAGGAGCCACCAACTGGAGCGTTACCCACCCCACAGAGAGTGGAAAGAATGTGGCTCTTGAACCTTCTGCCTGTAAATGATGGCGGTCACTCCTGGTCACAGTTTATTGCCAAAGCGAATTACACGGCCAAGCCTACCTTCAGTGGGGTGAAGGAGAAGCATTCTGCCCAAGGAGGGAAAGCAGATATTGGTGAACTCTAGCACAATGTAGCACAATTTTTGAATGGGAATTTTAATGTATAAATTAACTTGGAAAAGTTTATTTTTATAGTATTTACTTTTCTCCTGCAGGAACACGGCCTTTTCCTTCAAGTCTTCCCTTATTTCTCCCGTAAAGAACTTCTAGTTCTCTTTTTGTAGGTCAATGGTTGTCAACATTAGAATTCCCCCTGGTGCTTCTAAAAGATACCAATGCCCAGGCCCCGGCCCCAGAGGAGTCTAAGTTACCCGCAGGGTTGAGACCACAGATATAGGTCTTACACATCCCTTGTTTCTGCTTCAGTTTTTTTTTTTTTTTTTTTATTTTTTTTTTTTTTAAAGATTTTATTTATTCAGTTTTTCCCCCCAAAGCCCCAGTAGATAGTTGTACGTCATAGGTTCACATCCTTCTAGTTGCTGTACGTGGGACTCGGCCTCGCGTTGGACGGAGAAGTGGTGCCTCGGGGCGCTCCCGGGATCCGAACCCGGGCCGCCAGCATCAGAGCGCGCGCACTTAACTGCTAAGCCACGGGGCCGGCCCTCTGCTTCAGTTTTTAAAAAACTTTTTACTATAGAAATGTTCAAATTATACACAAGTAGAGAGAATAGTAAAATGAACTTAGAATAAACCCCTATGTACCCATCACTCAGCCTCAACAATTACTCAGCTTATGGCCAATCTTGTGTCATCTGTAAACCACCCCCCTTCCTGTATCCCCTTTCAAAGATTATTTTGGAGCAAGTCCCAGACAGCCTATCATTTCATCTGTGGTGTTTCAGTTTTAGTTTGCTAAACAAAATACCACAGGCTTAAACTACACAAATTTATTTTCTCACAGTTATGGAGGCCAGAAGTCCAAGTTCAGGCACTTCTGAGGCTTCTCTCCTTGGCTTATAGACGGCCATCTCCTCCTCCATGTCTTCACAGAGTGGTTATCTCGCTGTGTGTCCATGTCTGTGTCTCTCTCTGTCTGTGTCCTAAGCTCCTCTTCTTACAAGGACACA